TTTGGGCTAAGAAAAGCTTCCTCTGAACAAATACCCACATGGCTGCCAGGGACTGTGGGATGGCTACCTTTCCAGGCAGCATCTCAAACAATCTGGCCAATGGTTCACCCTTGCCCTTTCTTTCCCAAGCACAGCCTCCTCTCAAAGCTGTAACCCTCCAGCCTCCCCTGCATTAGTGAGCCAGCCTGGAAAACTTTACTCTTTTATGGCCACCTTTTCAACTACAACAGGGAGTGAATTTCACATATTGCAGTCAGCCTCACCCCACATTTGTCCTCCTTCCTCCCTTGATGTTCTGCCAGAGGGTCTCAGCACACAAGAATCAATCCTAGTGCTGGTGGCCAGAGCCAGATGCACAAGTGTCCAACACTTACAGTCACTCCCAGTGCTGTAGGGAGCAGGGGAAGACCAGCACCCTGTGTTGCCTTGGGTCTGAGCACCCTGAGGCCCTGGACATACACTACCCTCACTTCTTTCATTTGTTAGCCTCATGGCTACCCCTGGAATGGTGAGAGGGAGGTGTTAGTACAGGCAGTTCTGTCTGGTTTTCTACTTCATACAAGTTTTTTTATGGGAAATGACAGGCATCACTGACTGTCATACTGACTCTGGGACTGTCTGCTGAAAACCTCCCAGAAATTAATGTAAAAGTTCACAAGGAACCTGCTTACAAAGCAGAGACCGATAGCTTGGGCAGGGGAAAGGAGACCATAGCACGGCAAGGCTGAGGGGACACAGAACCCCCCAAGGGAACAGTTGCACTGGGGAAGAGGCAGAGATTGCTGCTGGGCTGCTTCCTGAGGGCTTCCTGGGATGTCTGCCTTCCAGGATAGCAGCTGGCTTGTAAATGCCTTGCAGTCTTTTACAATTCCTTCTTGTCTAGCTACTTAGAGGAAAAGGCATCTTGTTGGTTATCCTTCCTAGTTTGGTGCCTTTGTAGGAGGGACAGAGACATATCTGTAGAACAGATCTGAGCACAGGGTCAAACTGGCACAGAAACCATCCTCAGGGTGCAACTCCCATGGCATACTGGACTTCTGCTTCCCTCATTTCATGGTATCATCATTCCTTGCCCTGCCTATGACAGTGGGGCTGGAACCAGTTGATTTTAAGGTCCCTTGCAACCCAAACCATTCTGATTCTGTGACATTTTCAAGCTCTGGAAATGTTATTTTCAAGGCAGAGTAGGAGATACTTAAAACTGTTCTATTTTAAGGAGTTGATTATATTTTTTCAAGAGGATGTTGGAGCAGAACAGACAGAGGCCTTTACTAGACCCCTCTCTCTCATTCTTACTTTACTATAAAGTCTAAATTTATTGTCTAACTAGAAATGAGATCAGTCCTAAATCAGGTATTACTTTTGTGGTAGCTGATCTTCCATTTTGTTAGCAGCATCTTAAGATGTTCATAGAGCTAAGTCACCCTCCTTTATGGCATCTCATTCATCCCCCCCACAAATCAGGACTCCAAACCCTGTCCTGCCAATTCCACTGGCCTTTTGCTACACATGGCTCATCATTCCAAGCCACATCCTTTCTCCCAGAGCCATTACTCTCCTTAGGCCTGCTCCCCTCCCATGTGGCATGAATGACAAACATCCAGTGCTCAGCATCCAGACACGACCATCTCAGGAATCCTCTCTGCTTTTGGCAAGCCACCTGCCCGTCCCCAGGCACTTGTATCCAAGCTGTGCAGGTTCCTCAACGAGCACAGCTGCCTCCCATATGCTCTGGAGTGCATGGGAAAGCCAGACCCACTTCCATAGCTTGAGCTAACAGGCAGGATACTTGAGCCATTGCCAATTAAACAGCCCTACAAAAGACAAAACAGCACACAAACCTCCCTGGGATGCAAGAGGCTTGGACTCCAATCTCTACTTAGATGCCTGCTTAGGGACTTCATGTTCACCAGTAATGCTGCAGTATAAATGCATAAACCTCTCAAAAGGACCAGCAGGGGCTGTGCACACCTTGGGCACAACATCTGGTGGGAGATGCTGGTTTGATTTGTACCTCCAGATGCCACAGTTGGACAGCGAGATCAGGCACCTGCAGTTTAAGCCCCTGACACAATGCAAAACCAAGAAGAGGGACAGGCAGCCTGCAGTGTTCCAACATTCCTCTGTTTGCTGTGACCAGCACAGCTAAGTATTTGCAGATACTGGATTTAGCATCATAGCTGAGATAGGAAGGTACAAGTTATTTGGGAATGAGTTCAGGTGTGAATCTATGCAAGTCTTTTGAGATATAAATGCTGCTAAACATCTCCAGCCATAGAACATGAACAACAGGGGGAAAAACATGTCTGAAGTCCAAGGCCTGTGAACATAAATAACCGGTACATCCTGATTTTTGGTGCCATGACAAATATACCCTTGCTGAGCAAAAGTAGAGGAGCCTAGAAGATGCCAGTTATAGGCATAAGATCCTTAATTTTCTAATCTATGACAAATATTTTGTGGACATTTATGTCGTTGCTTTGTTGTTGGGCTTTTTTTATACTTCAGTCACACCAGCAAGGCATATGATTTACTAATTTTCATTCTGGCTCACTGAAAACTGTTATCTTGAATTTAATGGAGGTTTTTTTACTCTTCTGAAGTACCTTATTATTACTTCCTCTGAAGTCTGCATATTTTATAGTAAGTTAGAACCAAATCATGGTGTAATTCTGTAATTAGTTCCTTGAATTCACATCAAAAGCTGAATGTCAGCCAACAACAAATGAATTCTCAGGAGCAAATCTAATTCTCTTGAAGATGAGGCAAGCATCAGAAAATAATTTACACTAAGCAAGCTGAAAAAAAACTCACCACACCAGGTTAGAACAAATTTGTAGTTGCATTTTATTAAATCAATGAAAATCTACCTTAAAAACACAAAATCAAATTGGGTAACCCAATACATTGGATTAGAGAAAAGCTTCAAGCTTTAAAGCACAAGCCAGAAGTCACAGTCTCAAATGAGAGTTTCAGAGGCCAAAGCAATATGCTGGACAAAGTAGTATCTTTCTGTGGAGGCATGCTCCTTGCACCATTAGCATGGGTTTGGGTGCATTAGTTTTTTAGCTGTCAGTTATAAGAAGCTTTTGTATTTGTTTTATAGTAAGGTTTGCTGCTTACCTAGGCCCTGGATTAATGGAGAAAACAGGCAAGTTAAAGCCCTGCCCAATTACTACCAACAAACAATTTACACTGTGGTAAAGCTAGCTTTATTTAAATGAGGTTCAGACAAGAATTAACTTTACATATTATTAACAGCTTTGGAGCTACAAACTTAAGAATCAGGATTACACAGGTCATGCTACTGTTATTTTGTTTTACCTGCTGTAGTTATTGCAATATGGCTTAAGGTACATAGGTATACAACTTGTACAAATTCAGCCAAGTTTGCACTTGTGAGGTGTTATTAAGAGCATTATTACCTTGCAAGCCAACTTAAACCTGTGGAAATCAACCGAGGGTTTTGGAATTGCCCAAAGCTAAGGGGGAAAGCTGCCGCTAAGGATGGACAGAGATAGACTGGATTGTTTGAAACCCACATTGTTTGGCTTTAAATATTTATATAATTTGCTCTGAGGTAAGGAAAAATCTTTTGACGCTTCCACGCAGGGCAGCAGCAGATGGTGCAATCATACCAGTGCAATCAGTTTCACTGCCTGCTGGACCTGCAGCCTCGAGCAGAGGCAACCACTTGCCGTAACAACAGCTTTTGTACACAAGCTGAATTTAAAATAAATTACTATACAGGTATGGTAGTGAGCTATTGTTCAACTTGCTGGGCATTGGTTTCACAAAGTGCCATCTGTAACCTCCACTTTAGAAATCAGAGCTGAAAGTACTGACTTGTACCCCTTGCTTGATTTTAATGTTCACAACAAAGGAGAGGACCAACCCACAACTCCATCCTGGGGCTTGTAACCATCTTTGTATCACCCTGCTCATTCTGATTAACAGCTGTTGTCAGTCCAATCCACCTTAAATGAAGGTTTTTAAGGCCTCAGCAGCCCAAAGGTCTCATCAGCTTTTTGCAATTCAAGGCAGAACTTATCACCAAGCCCTTACCCTCCCCTCCTCCTCCTGCCTCAGTAAAGACAGAGAATAGATAGGAGTGGGGAGAATTTCAGAGAACGCTGTGATGGGGAAGTCGTTCAGCCAGGGGCTGGGAAAGGAGGAAACATGAATACAGGAAAGGTGTGAGATGGTGCAGGTGTGGGGAAAGGCTTGGGGGTTGGATGGGGCAGTGACCAAAAACAAGTAGATCCCAGAACAAGGGGTGCAAGATATGAAGGTTGTGGTACAAGAACAAGGTGATAGCAAAATGGGAAGTCTGGAGGGCTCTCAGAAACCAGGGAGGGCTGCAAGCAGAAGTCATCAGTGGGTCTGACACAGGTAAGGGCTCTCCTTTTGTCTTTAGAAATACCATAGTTCTACATTAAAATCAGAATTGGGTTTAGGATATACATATAAATATTCAAAGCAAGACAGCCAAATTTTTGAGAGATTTTACAAGGGAAAAAACCTGGAACAATAAATAGGAAACTACATGTTACCAATTTCCGCTCCAATAGTATCAATTTCCTCTCCAGGCTACTCTAAAAAATTCATTTATGGGTACGTCTAAATAGTACAGAAGCATCGTAGCTCTACGTTAAAATCAGAACTGGGTTTAAGACATACATATAAATACTCCATACATTACAGTCCAGTCCTGAGACCTGAAGTCTGGAACAGAAGCATGGTATTCTCAATCTCCTTTCAAGCTACACTGTAGAAATAATTTCTGACTAAATCAGGCCTGCACAAATACAACTGAAGGATGGAGAGAGATACCTGAATGGGACTGAAAGGCAGCAAACTTGAGCATCTTGCTCAACAATTTGTGCGTGACCCAGTTCCTGCTGTTTGATAGACACATCCAGAAGTCTCAAGTGTTCTCATCAGGCAGCCCTCCTCTTAACCCCTCACACACAAGCTGAGCAGCATCTACAGCCACTCGTAGGTCAGATCAAGGCATCTACGGAAGATGTGAGGGGTAAGGGAGACTACAGAAGGGGAGGGAAACTCAGGGATGAGCGGAGGGATTCAAGGAGATGGGACAGAAAGGACACACATAAATTGAGGGGACAGTAATAACTGTGGCACAAATTCTAGTGGTCTGCCCATTCGCTCAGTGGTGCACCTCCAGTCTAAAAGGATTATTTTGGGCAGAGACAAATGACCTTCGAATGGAACACAGGTGTGGATATAGCCAACATTAAAGGCATTGGTTTTTCAATAGAAATGACAAGGTGAGGTCTTCAAGAGCAGATCTTAACATCCAAGAATAAAGGGTAGTGAATAAAGCTCCTGGTTCTGTCGCAGGATTGTCAGTTGTTGTCTAGGACTGGCATCTCTCCAAATGCCACATGGATGCTTAGCACATCTGAAAGAAAGATGACCGTAAAAAGCTTTAGTAGTAACAACTTACTCTCTCAAGAATACTTTATATTCCCATACAGTTCTCAAAGACAGAGATAAATGTCTCATGACTTAGTGAAACAAGTACAGTATGCATCCTAGGGAGAGCAAATACATATCATTTCTCGTTCAGATTTCACTGAGTGCAGAGAACCTTTGTACATGAGGCACTTCAGGTTTACCATGGAAGACAATACTTACACCCTTTAGGATTTTAAAAAAAGCTTAGAGAAGTGTATTTGTGGATTAAATTCCATACATAAAATGTGTCATGCAAGTGCCTATCTAAGAAAGCAGTAAAGCACATTTTATACCTCTCAGAAATCCCAGGCTGAACTACAGGCCAAATCAAAAGCCACTAAAGTGAGGGTAACCCTTCAGCAAAATAACTACCAAAAAAAAAAAACCCAACCAAAAGCAAAACCAAAAAAACACACCACATTAAAGAGAACAGTTTGAGACTCTCAGAACTATCTTGGTATAATAAATACATTACTATCTAAAAATGCTACTTACATTCAAGGTGTCAGAGCCACTGAGTTCTGACTTTGTCTATCACAAGATGTCCCTTCCTGGCAACTATCATCCTCCCACATTTGTGTTCTCCCATCTTCTACTGGCGAGTGGTATCGTTGTTCTTCACTTTCTCTGTGTGTTTGCTGACCTCTGTGTTGGTCTGGGATTTCCATAATGTGCCCAACCTCTTTTTCCCTTAATTTTGCTGTGTGTATGTCTAGGGGATCTTTGGTTGAATCTTCTGAAGTACTTTGTTCTAGTGTTGATTTCTGAAGTCTCACACTTTCCCCTGAAATGTCTTCAGGGCAAGTCACAACTGTTAAAGAATTCTGACTTTGTCCATCTTTGAGCATCTTGAAAGCTAAATGCATGTCCTTTTGTTTTTCTATAGCTGCATGAATTTCTGCAGACTCTGTTAAGATAGCAGCTTTCACTATTCCGGGTTGCTGGAGCTCTTGTTCTTCACTTCGTATCTCTTCCTCTTTTACTGGAAGTTGATCTGCCTGCGTACTTGCCAGAAGTTCAGGTATTGACTTTGTCCATCTTTGAGCATCTTGAAAGCTAAATGCATGTCCTTTTGTTTTTCTATAGCTGCATGAATTTCTGCAGACTCTGTTAAGATAGCAGCTTTCACTATTCCGGGTTGCTGGAGCTCTTGTTCTTCACTTCGTATCTCTTCCTCTTTTACTGGAAGTTGATCTGCCTGCGTACTTGCCAGAAGTTCAGGTATATTTATATCGGCTTTTCCCTCCTACAGACTTAATGCTCTGCTCTGACTCTTCTGTTTCTGCAAGTTTGTGGACAGCTGACTGGATAGCATTCAATACAATTTCTGTACTCTGGTACTCTATAGTCACAGATTGAACAGCATCCTTCACAAATTCTGTGTGTCTGAGAGACAGACTGTCACTGAAAGGAATACCATTTTGTTCAGGCTGCCAAGTGCTCTGAGGCTTCTCTTGCTCCTCTGATACTCCGTTCATGGAATCAGGAGTTACTTGAGGCCGAGGTGCCTCCACACTACCAAGCTCTGCAGTCCCATAGTCTGAACAGTCAACAGTAGTAATCAAAATCTCTTCAGAAACCATTTGCTCTGGTGCAGTTGCCAAAGGCTGTATAGTTTTGGCCGTCATGTCTGTGGGCATTGTGGTTTCTGCCACAATATGCTCTCCAACTGCTGCAGCTGCTAGAGGCACAGGCATTTTCTGAGCCTCCAAGCTTTCAGCCTGTGGGAAGGCTGAGTCAGAGCCTTCCTCTTGCATAGTTAAAACCTCTTGCTGGACAGCAGCTGAACATTCATCATGTCTCACAGCTTCTCGTTCTCCAGATTCAAATACTTCTTTGGCTCTTTCCATCAATTGCTCATTTTTGTTATCTTCTTTCTGAAAGTCTTGACAGTTCAAGGTTTCTACAAGTTCTTGTTCTTTTCCCACAGTCTCTTCTTCAGCCAAGTTGCTGGGTGTTTCACATTTCTTAGGACTTGTATCAGTGATGACAGCACTTCCATTTTCAGTGATATCTGGGCATGTTGATGCTAAATGGGATACACTGTCTGCTTCACTTGGCGTGGGAGCCTCAGTTACAGTGGTATCACTCTCCAAGCATGTTTCAGTTTTGAGCACAGCATCTTCCATTTCACCACCTTTGGTTTCACCACTCTGGATGGAGGTTTCAGTTAGTTTTTCTCTGCATTGTAGCTCTAGGGAGGGCACAGAATCTTTCACTGCAATGTCCCCATCACTCACTCTCTGCTGAGCATCTGCAGCTGCTTCTGAGCCCATTGTTTCTGATGGAACAGCAGAGATTTTTACCTCATTCTGCAGTGGAACCTCAGTAACAGTGACTTCTGTGCTTTTTACTCCAAGGAGCACAGCATCATCTTCCTCTCTCAGGATAGGTGCCCTGCTAGGAATTCCTTTAACACAAACTTGCTCTGCTGAGTCTAAGTCAGGAATTTCATCTTGTCTTTCAGGTTCAACAGGGACCACAGCAACAACTGCTTCTGCACACTCTGGCCCCACAGTGAGGGTTTTGCCTTCAAGCTGCACATGCTCTCCAGCTGCAAGCCCCAAGTAAGAGGTTTCATCCTCTGTCTTGTCCTGCACCTGCAGATAATTGCAACAGATGTGAAAAAGGGTATGAGCAGGGAGTGATCAGAAATGTTGTAGGTGAACAAGCACAAGAAATACCCAAAAGGAGGAGAGTTATGGGAAGAGCACAAGGTGATGACACTGAGATTAGTGGCTCACCAAGATCCCAGCTTGTGTTCAGTTTCTGAGGACACGCAGCTCATTAAACAAAGGGCAGCCTAAAGCAAGGGACAGCCGGCAGCACTTGAAACAAAGACTAAGCCAGGAAGATGGTGGGGAGCTAGGGAAGAAGGTAGGAACACGTCAGCCGCAATAACTACAGCATTTAAAGCTGGAGATACTGGTGTCATTTCATGTCCTCCCTTTGCAAAGGCACCTCAGCTACAACTGTATCTCTGCCTACAACTGAATATACCATCCACCACGTATGGCACCACATGGATCACATCTGTATCCCAAGTGTTCATATACTATCTTCAGTCACTTCCGCTGTGCAGGGGCCCTAACAACGATTGCTTCAGCACCCTTGGATCCATGCACATCATCTCCCACTCCATTTCTTTAGGCATTGCATGCACCCCACCCTGCACACAAGCTTCAGTAGCTGCTGCTTCTGGACATGTGTGTGTGTGTCTCTTACTGGAAATGAACTTTGGCTGCTTCAGGCTGCATGAGGAAGGTCTTTGACAGTAATATGGCCACAACCTGGTTCTAAATTAGGTGTAATATTTAACACTTACTTTTTCTTTGACAAATCAACCTTTGTGTTATATGTAATACTTACTGCAGTCTGTTCTTCTGGGACACATTCGTCTCTCATCTCATCTACTGTCAATTCTGTTACAGGCAGTTTCTCTTGTTCTGAAGGCTCTCTGTCGTGTGATGAACACTCCTCTACTGTCCTCTGCACTTCAGATATGTCTTCATGGTCTTCCACAACTGTTTCTTCACATGACTGGCTTTCATCTTTCAATACACCTACACTTTTACATCCTTCTGCGCTTTCTTCCAGTGCAGCAGATATTTCACTTTTCTCTGAACTTTCATGTAAAAGACTCTCTTCAACTCTGTTTTGGCCCTGAATGCTCCCTGCACTTCCCCGGGGCTGGAGGCCATCTTCCTTGTCTTCTACTTTTTCCAAGGTCTGTTCAAGCAAAATAGTTTTCTGGCTTACAACATTCTCATCTTTAGCATCATCTTTCGCTTCTGAATCAAGTCCCTGTACTACTGTAACTACAGTTTCTGTCATGGTTCTTGCACTAACCAGCTGTGCTGTATCTGCTGACTTAACTTTTTCAGCAACTTCCTGAAGAATTTTTTGCGTCTGTTTGTCTAATTCTTTCAAATTTTGTTCAGTGGCCTCTACTTCTTGAACAGGTGTAGCTTCCTCTGTAGTATCTGGGGTTTCTAACAACTGTGAAACAGCAGAAACCATCTCGGTTGTCTCCTCAGCAAGGGACACTTCCATTGTTTCTTCAGCACAGGAAGCTTCTGCTGTCTCCAGAGCTGTCACTGCTTCCGAGGTTAGCTCCAGCTCACTTGCTGTGGTGTCATCACCTACATCCTTTCTTGTCTCTAGCACTGTCTTAGCAGCTACCACTGCATCTTCCACAGTAACATCCGATTCAGCTGTCTTCCCAGTTTCTCTCTCTTCCTCTTCTCTTGCCTGCTCAATGCACTCTGTCAGAGCAGCAGATATCCAAGATGGTGACCTTTCCTCAATGCTGGTAACTGCCCTTTCCCCTTCCACAACAGTAACAGTAACTGCATGTACCAGTCCTTCATGTCCTTGCTCAATTCTCAGTGTCTCCTCTAATTTTTCTGTTCTCTTTTCCTCTGAGGTTTGTGCTCTCATCGCTTCAGCATCTTTCGCTCGCTGAGCTTCAATTTTTTCCTGCTCTGCTGCATCATATTCAGCTAAAGGAACAACAGCTGGAATATCAGAATCTTCTTCAGCCATTTCTGCCATTTCTCTTGCTTGTTTAAGATGAGTCGGTTCTGCTTTTCCATCTGACTTTTTCTTCCTACGCCCAGGCATCAATTTTCTAAATGAAACCCACGATTCATCTCTTCCAGGCTCACCATCTGATGTTGAATGCTCCAGGCTAGATCCCACAACAGAATCTTCAGTTCTCTCCTCCATTCTGGTTTTAGATCTCCTTCTTGGAGTGACTAACCTTTTAAATGATTCCCAGGTTGAAATACCTTCACTTTCGGATGGGCTTCCAGCTTGTTCTGGGGAAGAATTCCCTTGTCCTTGATCGCTTTCCTGAGAACTAGTAAGAATTGCATCTGTTGTTGCTTCTTTGCTCTGTCCAGACTCTTCTACTTTTTGGCTTTCTTCATCAGATGATGATGATCTCCTGGCTCTCTTCTTTGAAGAGCCTACACATATAAAAGCTTCCCAGGACACAGATGTGTCAACCTTTCTTTTGGGCTCTTCTGTGGTTTTCTCTGGTTTCTGGTCAATCCCGTTTTCTTTTAATTCTCCCTCATTTTCATCAATAACATTTTCAGTTGCAGACACTGCAACACTCTTTGTCTTATCAATTTCTTCTTCTTTATCACTTTCAGAAGGTCTTCTGACACGTTTCTTGGGAGTCACCATCTTTTTAAATGATGCCCAGGGTGTAACACTTTCTCTTTTTCGCTCCACATCTGGAATTGCCCCATCTTCATTTTCAGTGACCTGCATTCCATCTGCAGGTTTTTCTAAAGAAGGAATTTCATTCGCCTCCTCAGGAGAAGAAGCAGAACTCTCTCCTTTTTGTTCCTCTGGGCTATCTGGGGAATCTGATAAGTGCTGAACTGGTTCACCCTGTTCCCCTAACTTAGATTCTTCTCTTTTGCCTTTATGCTTCTTTCCAGACAGTTTTTTTAAGCCGGTACCTGTGAAGAGTTTCTTTAAAGGGCTGCCTTGTAGTTTAGTCTTTTCTTGAGAAGACAGGAGTTCAGCTTCATTTGTGATACCTTCCAGAGGCCTCTTTCCAGCTGCCTCTTCAGAAGTTCCTTCCATGGTTATTTCATCTGGTTTGACAGTATCAGTCCCAACTACGCCAGATTTTTCCTGTAGTCCTTCATCAGTGGGTTTGACTGACTGTTGATCATCCTCTGTATCAAAAGTAGAAGAGGACTTCAATCCAGGAGCACTCAGACTCAGTTTTGTCTCATGTTCTTTGCTTTCTTTCTTATCTGGAGCTTCACCTTGTGTGATGCCTTGTGCTGTGGGTGACATTTTCAATTCAGCTTCCTCCGTTTTTTCATCGAGCATCTCTTTCTCAAGAGGAGCAGGTTTACTTCCTTCTTTTCCTTCAGATTCTTTTAGCTGTTCACTAGAAATTTCAATTGCCAGAGACCCTGTTTCAAGTTGCTCTTCAGAGGATACTTCAGTTCTGTCATCTGTTTCAGACTTGTCCATTGACTCCAGTTTTTCTCCCACAGGTAGAACTTCTGAGGATGTTTTCAGTTCACCATTCACACTGTCAGCGACAATGGGTACGACTGGTTTTGGTTTTAGTGGTTTCTCTGTCCCCTCACCTTCTTCATTTTTTACTTCCTTTGTACCAAGATCTTCTGCAACTTCCCCCAGTTTCCTTTCCTGATCATCTTCATCTTTTTTCTCCTCTGCACTTTCTTCTACAGCTGCTGCTGCTAGATCCTCTTTTTGTCCCTGCTCATCATGCTTGACTAGTTCTTCCTTCTCACTTTCTTCCACTCCCATGGCTGCCACAGTCTTTTCTGACTCCTGCTTTTCACCTTCAGCTTGCTCCTTCTCATGTGCTTCAATACTTACTGCTGTCACATTCTTTTCTGCATCTTGCTTCTCAAACTCAGATTTCTCCTCCTTTTCACTGGTTTCAGTTGTTAATGTCGTCCCCTCTTTTCCTTGCTCCTCTTCTTTTGTAGGAGACTGTTGCTCATCTTCTTTAGGCTTTCTAAAACTCTTCTTTTTTCTAAAGCCAGTCCATCCTTGAGTAAAAAGTTTTCTTAGGGGCGATGCAGTATCAGTGGCTAAGGCAGCTGACTGAGAAGAAATCTCATTTGCTTCTGATATTTTAGGAGATTCATCTTCTGGTTTTTCACTCCTCACTGCATCTTTGGTGTTGGCTTCTGCAGAGCGTGCATCCTCAGGCACTGCTGTTTCTTCTGAGATGACTTCTTTTTGATCATCGGTTCCTTCAGCATCTTGTGCTTCCTTCTTCACAGTAAGCAGTTGGACAGGTTCCGATTTTCCTGTCTTTTCCTTCTTCACTGTGAATCTGAAACCAACAAATTTAAAAACCTTTTTAAACCCCAGATCATAAGACTGTGGCTCAGACGTGTGGTCTTCTGCGTCTTCTTCCGAAGCTGGCAACTGTTTAATTGAATGAGCATCCTCTTTCTCAGCATCTACAGTGTCCTTGGTGCTTGAGTCAGATGGATTTGTCTCTGTAGTTTCAGTGTCTTCCTTCAAAGTTACACTGGAATGTTCGGTTTGTCCAACTGTTTAAACAACAACAACAACAAACCAGTTAATTTTCCTCTCAATTTAACATTAAATACATAAAGGTATAGTGGTTTTCATTTTAATCAATTCTCATAAACATAACTTGTTCCATTATCTGTGTGCCACTATTAAGTTTTTAAGGACTAGTTTTTGTCCCAAGATTACTATCATTACTTTTCTTCTTCATATGATTGTGCGATTCTTTCTGAAGTTTATTTGCAAATGCACCTTCCAAGCACATATTCTTTCATTCTCTTTCCTCTTTTTGCAGTTCCTTTCATGTGGCTTGTTTGGTGGGGTTATTTTACTTAAAAGCAAACTTATGTAAGAAAAATACTTATTTCTATCATGTAATTACTCAAAGACTATACAGAATTATATATGTAATTATTCCTAAAGCAAAGCTCAGTATTTCCATGCAGACAGTCACCTCTGAAGGAAAAGGAAAACCAAGCACCACCACCACCACAAAACAACCAACCAACTAAAAGAAAATCACACCCAAAAAAGCCTGTTGACCTAAAATGATGACAAGAGCTCATTTTACAGCTCTGTCCCAAAAGAACAGTAAGATGTGAAAACACCCATGAGAAATTTCCTGGTTTTCTGAGAATTCATAATCCTCAAAAAGAGTTGCTTTTAAAAAGCCAGGAATCTTGGAATTCTCCCATACATCACATCACCACTATGGCCAGACAGAATCACAGAATTGTTAGGGTTGGAAGGGACCTCTGGAGAAACCTCATCTACAGCAATTCCATATTTCTTAAAATTAATGAGGTTCTTACTGTGCAAGTGGGTAAAAACCTCCACTGTTCACACATCTGTGTTTGCATTATCTCTTTCTTGAGCACCATTTGAGTTTTTCCTTCAGGTCACTGGCAACCACCCTCTCAGTCTTGCTGGGACAACTTAAGCATTATCGCTCCCTCTGGCCGTGAGCTATCCGAGTTCACAGACTGGAATGTAAGTTAAATCTACAGCACATTCAAGACACAAAGATTCTCGGGCTCGGATGCTGCCAGGATTTCAATTTAATATTGTTTCTGACCCTTGACTTAGTGCAACAGGTAAAAGTACAAGGCCACATGGGAATGTACTCTTCTCTCTGACCAAACTTCTTGGAGTGCAAAGATGAAAAACTAAAATTATAAAAAAAAAATTAGAAAATCAATGTTAAACAGCAACATCCTGAAAGAAGGTATGGCCCCTTTCTTTTAAGCTGTACATGTGGTACTTCAATACCCAAAGGCAGAAGGAGACAGCTTTCAAAAGTACACCCATTATCAAATTCCCCCGAGTGATGGCATTTTTTATTTGAACCACCTTTAAGTTAGTTGTCTCTAACTCTGCAGTTGGCCCTGCTTTGCGTGGGGGCTGGACCACTTGACCTCCAGAAGTCCCTCGCAGCCCAGATACTGCCGAATCTGCTGCTTCCTCAGAAGAACACAGACAATGCCATCTAGGTAAGGCTAAGAACTAACCACACAGTAGACAAAACTAAGCCTACAAGGATACTGGCTTCTAATAGCTATGTAAAGGGTACATAATGTTTCACTATCAGCAGCCTAGTGGTTGTTTCTCAGTCAACATAAGCAAAGCTTTTTGTTTTTTCCCCTTAGCTAACAGTTGAAAATTATTTGCCTCAATTGTTAATGCCTAAGTCATTTAGAAATCTGACTTCTGCTAACACCCTAACTCCCTGAACATTTTAAAACAAAGATGTGCAAACTCAGTCATTTGTGAAGGAGAAGGATAGGAAGAAATAAGACTCTTTTTGAAGAAGCCAGGATTTTTACTCCGTTGGCAATATACCTCTTGAAAACACCAGAACACCCCACAAGCAAAAATAACTCTTATGAATCAAAACATTATATAGTTGCATGTTGAGACTATACAAGGATAAAGCCAAGGAACTGCTTTTGTAACTGTGTTCATTTATTACTAGGTCCAGAAATAAAGTCCTTTTCATTTCCATAATTACATAATCCTATGTAATTTAAAGGAAAATTTATAAAGGCTTAACAGGAATTCACAAAGTTAGAGGCACTTCTTCAAAGACCATCTTCAAAATATTTTCTATTTTATAATTGTTTTGTAACAGGTACTTTAATATATTCTTCAGTTCGTTTACATGAAAAGGGGTTTTTGTGGCTGAACGAGCTATGAAACTAAACATGTCATTTAACATTGAAAAGTTTGTTCATTAGCCAGGCCTCTTAACATCTCTGGTGGAAACAGGGTCTATAGAGTCTCCTTCTCAGTCTTGCATTAATGTCAACATGCTCACCCTTAGACATACAGGAATCTCCATCTGGCATGACTTGGATAAGGGTAGAACAAAAACAGGGCTGAGAGCCAGTGGGGAGTGCTGGGTCTCAGTGGGGAAGATCAAAAGTGCAGGAAGGCAGAAGGAGTAGAGAAGTCAAAAGGCATTTTGGACTCTGCAGACAACTGGTTATGTGTCTCTGCAGCCAGAGATACAGATTTCTATGGGCTCCCCTTTCCTCTTGCAAATGCTCCCTGGGAACGCATGTCCATTCCTTTTTGAAAAGCCTGAGGTTTCAAAAAAGTTGTACAAAGGCAGCATTTCTTTTTTGATTTGTTCCTAGATTTGGTGTGTAGTGTAAATTTAGCGTTTGAGATGAGTTTCAGGTTTTAGAGGTGAATAGGATTACTGTAAGAGAGGAATGATACAGAATATGAATGAATGAGGTATTCCGTTCCCAAGGAGAGAGAGATAAGATGTAAAACTAGAGTATGAAAGGCATCTCTTCATACTCTGGACAAGCATTCAAAGGGCTTGTGCTTACTCTATTTATAAAATGATGTGTTGTAACACCCTAAGGTAAAAACTATGTCTCTGTAAAATGCTTTGCAGGTGAAAAGAGCTGAATTAATATTATAAAAACTGCAGGTATGGGTATGCATTAAGACAGCAAATGTAACCATAAAAATACAGAACACAGTTTCAGAGGCACACTGATGAGCTTTCAAACTTCAATCAGGCTGACAGTAACTAGGTCTTCCTTGGGAGTCCAGTAGCCATATTACCTTGCAATACTTCACTGAACACACACTGCGAAAGGAAAAACTAACAAAAATATCAACTGAGTGAACACGTTACTTTTTAACAACAGTCTGAAAAGCTGCAACATCAACACTTCCACCGCTCCCTCACAGTGCAGGTAAGGTATACTGATAGACATGGTCCAAGCGCTGCCCCTTCAGCTCCACAACAGAAAGCATTTAACCTGTCTAAAAGGTATTTCATTCCCCAAGATAGCACAGTGATGTCAGCTGTTAAGTGACCTGCCGCTGCTGCAACTAGACTCTACTTTGTCTCCTCCTTTCACATTCTAAATACCTGGAAGAGTCTTTTAAACTGAATTTCTGACACCCTTCCTCAGCATTTGAGGAGAGAGAAGCCATTCAGGAAATCTGCCTGCATGCTGCCAGGAGGCAGCAACAAACCTCCAGTGCCACGGACATCCAAGTTGCATTTTCACAACATATACCCCAACGACCATTTTTATATTCAGTGAGGCACAACAGAAACAGAAGACCTGAAAAATCAACTGTACACCCTGTACTTTAACGAAGCTTTTATGAATGACACTGCAGCTCCTGAACATTGTTCCTGCACTTCTGAATGCAAAGCAAACAGTGAGTAACTCCACTTGGAAAGGTTTGGAAGCTATTTACACAAGGTATTGTTGGTCAGAGACCTGTAGCATGCCATTATCACAGGGATTCTGGCAGGACAACTAGCACTTTCTGAATTAATTCAGGGAATGTGAAAGTACCACTAAGAAACACTGGAGGCTCATCAAAATAGCTATCTTTAGGTCTCTCCTGTGCAGGGCTGCACTTCACCTGGCATGTGCTAGTCAAGGAATAGAATACAATAAAAATATATCCAGAGGCAGTGATAAAGATCAGTGGTGATACCATAAAATTGATACACTTTGCTATTTAAATCCACTGTGGCTAAGAACCCACCCTGAAATTCTGTTTTAACTGCTTACATACCGCTTAAGCTTTGAAACATTTTAAATTGACTCAAGGTGCTGCTTACATTTTAGTAACTTCAAGTGTTTTGTTTTATTCTGAAAGGAACATTCGAAACTGACAGTCCTAGAGACTCAAAGGTGCTTGATTTCACCATTTCGTATCTACTTAGTTCATGGTAAGAATTTCTGTTTTATCAGAAGCATAGTGATCAGGTGTTGGATAATTAGCATTTTCAGAACAACTGAATTCCTGTCTCATCCCATTAAAAATGAAATGAATAAATAACAATTCTCCTTTAGTAGGCAGAGCCATTATCAGCAGTGCAACTTCACTGCTCCCACCATCTCATCTCATCTCCAGAAGTGAAAATGTGTTCCTCCCCTGGCAGCGGCCAAAGAGTTTTAAAAAAGCACTCTGACTGCAAGAGTTAAATTCACAGCACTTCATATGCTTGCAGTCAACCATGTCAACATCTGGAGTTGGTTGACTTTTCCCCCTAAGGATTTGCAGCACAGCACTGGATTTTTTCCATGAATTCCCTACATTCTCAATCTCTCAGATGGATGTGACACACACCCAGCACCCACCTCACAAACTCCACTGGCCACTTAAAGGCTCCAGAGGAATTTGTGCTGTTTTCATTTATTCAGTGTTTGAGTATTTAGGGCCAAACTCTGCTCTCGGTCACATACACAATACTCTCAGTAGGTTTGCATGAGCAAAAACAAATGCTGAAGTCATAAGGCTGGAGGAATACTGTACAATCATTTGCCTCCATTGTGTCTAGATTTGCTATGAATACAACTTGTAAAAAAAACCCAAAAACACCTACTGCTCTAAAACCAACATGACAAACAGAAGACAATCTAAATAAAATTTTTGAACCTAGTGTTCATGATATACTAACGATGATCATCTAATTAGTGATAATGATGATTCTTCTAATTATTGTTAGAAACATTTAAGGACAGTCAAGGAAGAG